TTTTTTTTTCAGTTTGGATCAGTTCTCGTTCTCCGGATCGTTTCAATTTTGACGGAAGTCCCGAGGGACTTTTTTTTTTTTTGAGAACAACTCGAGCGTGTGCTACGTGTGCTGCTGCCAGGATAACTCCGGGGGCACGGTCCCACAAAGAGGATTGGAAAAATGCCCTGAATGTGGACGTGTTTTAAGCAGAGATGCAGAAAAGCAGTTCAATCTCGATTTTGTGCACCTTTCCACAGAAGAGTCCAGATTCAGGCTTTCTATCCAATCCTCTTTGCAAGTTGCAAGTGGGACCTTGCCCCGGGTTGAATTGTGAGGTCCCCGGCCTCGGTTTGACCTGTTATAATACAAGTTTTCTGTTTGTGTAAAAAAAAAAAAAAAAAAAAAAAAAACAATGCAGACATAATCTCTTAGTACCCTTTCATTCTAAACTTCTGTTGTCTTTTCCGGAATACAACGCAACGTGATCTTGAATGTACTTTAGCTATCTTTCTCGTCAGATACAGTGACGACGAGGATGGTGCGTTTTGCGTCCGGAGGAAAAAAAAAATCAGTGTCTCTCGCTCGCCGCTGACCCGCACACAGACAGACACAGTCGTGCCGTTATCGGACTGGAACGATAACTACCTTCTGCACCCGAATATAACGCTCGGTCATTATAGCTGTATGTAGACTGAAAGATACCCCAAATACCGCTATTCACCTTCTTCACCCGACTATAACGCTCGGTCATAGCTGTATGTAGACTAAAAGATACCCCAAATACAGCTATTTACCGTCTTCATTATAGCTGTATGTAGACCCCGAATACAGCTATTTACCGTCTTCACCCGAATATAACGCTCGGTCAGTATAGCTGTATGTAGACTGAAAGATACCCCAAATACAGCTATAATGACTGTACGTTGTATTCGGGGGATGAAGGTGGTATATATTCTGCTCCGATCCGAGCTTTGAGTGCGCACCCACGCGCACAGTGTGACCGCATCGGACTGGAAAGATGGGATAGATTCATTCGGGTCTGCGGACACAGCCGCGTATCCGACCGGAAAGATCGGCAAAAAATACATTGACGATCGCGAATGTATCCGACCGGAAAGATCGGCAAAATACATTCACGATCCGGGTGCGTTGTGTATTAGCGGGGAAGTAGACAGTGGACGTTTGAAGATGGAGGAAAAGTGACCTTGGCTCTCGCTACAGTAGTACACAGTGCTCTATATGCATTTGGACGCTTTCTGGACCGGGTACATTCAAAATGTTGGACTCGTCGGAATGCACCTAATCCAGAGAGCGTCCAAATGCAAGTAGTCTTGTGTAGTGGAGCGAGGCCCCTTTTTCTTCGATTCGATTTGGGGCGACTTTTTTTTTTTTTTTTTTTTTTTTTGTTCGAAAACGAAAAGTTTCTTCATATGCACATATATTTTTTGTTGTAATTTTTTTCAACAAAATTTGCATTTATTTCCAACTTTTATTCCAAGAAAGTCAGGATTCAGGCCGGGGGCCAAGTCCCGCTAGCAGCGTTGAGCTACCTCAACGCCTGAATCTGGACGCATTCGCGGAGATGTGCAGAAATGGTTTTGAGTTTCCTGAACTGCACCTCTCCACAAACACGTCCAGATTCAGGCGTCGAGGTAGCTCAACGCTGCTAGCGGGGCTTGGCCCCGGGGTCCTCGCAGTCTACCCTGAAAATTTTACACGCTGGGAGCCTTGCCCAGCTTTCCGCCCCCCCCCCCCCTAAATATCATCGATCGGGGCCAGAGCGTCTGCCTTACCCTGGGGCGAGGTCCCACTAGCAACGGGATAGGATAGAAACGAGATTGTGGGGCAGTTGAGTGACCCAAATCCTGCCGTGCACTACTCGTGATCCCACCGTCAGTATTTTACATGTATTACCCGAAAAAGTAAGGAGATCTTCGTTCCCCTCCTCCTCTCCTTAACACTGGGCATGCCCGTGCAAAGACAGCTTYCCGCCAGAATCTTTTCAATCGGTTGGGGGTGTGGCCAACCCCAAACGAGGTTGGGGTCGGCCTTAGCCCACTGGATTGAAGATTTTCAGCATTTTACTTGCTGTTGTGCAATTATCTCATTGGGTGGATCCCTCCTTCAATAACGGAGTATATGAGGGTGTCAGGATCACTGCTGACAGAAGTCGATTTTATTCCAAACAAATGTGGCGCCATCAGATCATTTGTGATCTGATGGCTGGGAAGCACTGCCGTGATTTCCAGTGGGAGGTCTCTGTGTCTTTTTTTTTTTTTGGCCTTTTTCCTGTTTTCTCAGCCCAGAAATTCGTAATGAACGTGTCACACCGAGTCGGCCACACTCCTATCCTACTGCTAATGGGACCTCGCCCCTGATAGCTTTACCCAGTTTGGAAATAGGCTTTTCCAAAAAAATATGCGCAGATTTGTTGTGTGTGGAAAATACAGAGGAAATAATTAGAAAGGAGAAATCCGAAAAAATCAAAATACTATTTCTAGTAGTTCACTGATTTCTGGAGAAAATCCTATTTTTTTTTTGTTTTTTATTTATTTATTGACAGGTCGACAGTTAAGGTGCAGATAACTTTTTTTTTTTTTAAATGCCTGATACTTCCGAGTTCAAGGAAAATAAATTCCTCGTTTTTTTTTTTCTTTTTTTTTTTTTGGGCTCTCTCTCTCTCTCTCTCAAAAAGAATGGTGTCAATTGAAAGACTCATCGTTGAAAATCCAGCTTGAGTACTCGCACCATCTTGAGTGCATTCGGCCGCAATTACGGCTGGATTCATCGTTGAAAATCCAGCATATGGCTCAAGGCTACCTCGACGTCCGATTCGGTCCTTCTTGTCGTTGACCCATTTCGCCCTGTTTGACTTCTTCTCCCTCATGATCTCTATCTCATTTCGACCTTCTCTTTGACTTTTTTTTTTCCCTTTTTTTCCCCTTTTTTCCCCC